CCAGAATGCAGAAAGTTTCAGTTTATTGATTAAAAACATTGTTTCTGCTTTCCCAGAATGCATACACAGCCACAGCTATCAACAGCACCAACTTCTGCACCTCAGCAAAGGATGCCTTTGTTATTCTGGTGGAGAATGCTTTGCGAGTGGCTGCCATCAACACAGTGGGGGATTTCATGTTATTCCTAGGCAAGGTAAGACCAAGTATTTCGTCTGAGACATACAGTAAATTTTTGCATATATTTATTCACTCTTTAATTTTAAAAATATATAGCCCACAAAAAAACCAAAAGTAACAATATACAGCAAGCACTTATAAACCCCTTAATGTGTGTCAGGCACTGTTAAAAGTACTTTACATGTATTGTGCTCATTTAATACAGTAAATTTGTAAGTTTTATTATCCTAACTTTACAGATGGGGAAACCAAGGCATGGAGAGGCTAAGTAAATAGCCATGTTTCTCCCTACCTATTTTGAAATGTAAATAATTAGGTAACAGTCTGCATGATGGTTAGGGATACTACATCTGGAGCCTGACTGCCTGGATTTAAATCCTGGCTCTATCACTTACTAGCCGTGTGACCTGAGGCAGTTTACATAACCTCTCTGTGCCTCAGTTTGCTCATCAGTAAAACTGGGATCATAATAGTGCCAAACTCCTAGGGTTGTGAGGATTAGACTGGTTACTCCATGTAGGGTATCTAGGACAGTGCTGAACACATTGTAAGTTCTCTGTCAGTGTTAGTTATCAATGTTGTTGTTGCTATATATAAACCCCTTTAAAATAGAGCTAAGGTCTGGCCAGTTAGCTCAGTTGGTTACAACATGGTGCTGATAACACCAAGGTCCAGTGTTTGATCCCTGAACCAGCCAGCTGCCAAAATAAATAAATAAATAAAATAGAACTGGTAGGGGGCTGGCTGGTTAGCTCAATCGGTTAGAACGCAGCCTTATAACCCCAAGGTCATGGGTTGGGATCCCTGAAAAACAAAAACAAACAAAAAAAAATAGAGCTGTTAGGGAATGAGATTTACACTTTTCTTAGAAATATCTGAGAGGAGTCAATTTATTCTATGCATTAAAATCTGCAAAACAATAAATAGAATTATAATTATATTTCATTGGGTCTGTATTTCAAACTATGAAATATTCAAAAATTTGAACAGTCAAGGAAAGAAAAAGACTTTGTAACACTACCACCATAACCCAATA